GGGAGCGGGGGGAGGAAGGAAAAGGGGGGGAGTGAGCAAGCGGCTGCGTGGTTCCAAGTTGCCGCTGGGCTTGAACCACGACACTAGGACATCCTCAGATGGTCTGAACCTGGCAGCAGCCTCAGTGGGCACAGCCACCAACCCAACAGCAGAGACCACAGAAGGGCTGCAGCAAGCCAGGCTGGTGGGTAGGATCAAACAAAGGGGAAGGCAACAGAGAACAAAGGCAAGTCCTGGGCTGCCTGCTTTCTCATCTCATCCATTGCTTTGAAGTAGGGGATAGACAAGAAAAAGAAATGGATCTGAAAGTAATCTTGCAGGGGAATTTGTTCAGGCAGATTTGTCCAGCTCAGTGCTTTTATCAAAATCAATTGCCAAACTAAGTTACTTTGGTGGTGAGCAATCTCCTCACCAATTTCAAACTTGTTCAGAAAATAGTCTGCTGCGAATCAGCCCTCTTCTCCTAATCATCTGTAATAAAGTCACTGCTGTATCTCATACCCTGCTTTACCTCCTGGCTCACTCCACACCACAGCACCCTTTGCTTCAGTATGACAGGGCAGAGCCCAGCGCCAACAGCACAGCCCTGTGCTGGCAGGAAACACCAGCTCTAAAAACTCTTTCTTTTAGAAGAAACCTATACTTTGCTCAATGTCTGCAGCACCCATCCAGCAAACTCTGTGTTTTACTCTGCTGCAGGTCACATTCTTGGACTTTTCCCAGTGTTGCACCCCCTGTTCCCTCCTGGCTGGACACTGGCCCAGCCTTCAGCCTCTGTGAGCCATGTGGCGCCACAGCAGCACCAGCAGCCCCATGCCATGGGTACAGCTGCTGCCAGGACCACAGGGGCACAAGCAGCTGAGCATGGTTCCCCCTTCTTAGCAAGCCCCAACTCCCAGCCCTTGGGCAACCCAACCATGGAAGAGAGGATTCTCTGACATCTGCTCCTGCTGCAAAACCAGAATGTCACAATTTCACCTTCCAGCACTGCCAATACCTGGCTTGTCATGTGGACGAGGATAAGCAGGGGCCCAGGTTCCCATAGCTCACCAGATCCTTGTTCCTGCTCTGAAGATGCAAGCATAACCCATCACAAATCAAACCCATTTTGGAGGCAGGCAGGCAGGGCAGGGACACTTTAGATCAGTCTGTTCTCTCCTTCAGAGAAACAGCACCAGTGCGGGGATAACGAATCTCAGCAAAGAAAGTGATCTGTGATGAAGGGGAAATGAAGGAAAGCAAATGCATCTCCATGAGCAGTGGAACTGATGAGGTTTGGTTCCTTCCAGATTTGTCTCTTGGTGACAGAGCCTTACAAAATCATTCTCAGATTTTCTGTTCACTCTGCATAAATGTGTAATCCATCTCTTTTTGTCTGTTCACAAACTCTTACCACAGAGTATTTTGAGGCACCCAGTGTGCTGGCTGTCATCCTGAACTGCAGATGTTATTAGGAGGGGCAAGAACAAAATTCTCCTCTCCCACTCCAAAGTCAGGATGGGTGCCAAGGAATCAGCAAGAAGAGATGATCTTCTGCCACTGAGTTAACGATTTGAGTGGCAAAATGTTTATTCAGATTGCTAAAAAGACCAGGAGATAATTGGGGGTGAAGTTTTGATTTATATTTCCTTCTGATTGACTGGAAAAAAATATCTTGGATTACCCAACTTTTGCAAAAAGGATCAAAGGAACTGTTTTAGAAACAAGAAACATTAATCTGGATTAGGACCAAGTCGATACAGGCTTCGGCTGAGTTGCACTGATTTACATCATTGCACAAACTAACACTTGAGTCTCAAAGTCTGAAATACTTATAGAACTAATTAAATAGTAAATCAACCCCTACATCTGTAAATGCAACAATTCTAAAGGAATCTAAAAGGATTTTATGAAGTAGAACTATTTGAAGTGTTTAAGGGTTAAGATGAAGGATTTTTTCCAGTATGCAGACATATGTGTTCATATGGCTTTTAAACATCCCTCCAAGAGAAATGCCACACTATTGCATAACAAGGGTGGGGAGCACTGTAGCAACATGGTTACTGGATGCAGCTTTTATATGAACTATGTGCTACAAATTTTTTGAGTGAAATGGGTTGCCACATAACACAATCCCTTCTTCAAAATCCCATTGTTTTGTGGGTTCACAGTGGGGCAACAGTTCCATCCAAGTGAAAATACAACCTTCCCCAAAAGCAGGTATTTTACAAACGTATTCAACAGCCACGTTTGAAGTTATGGCCATCACGCCAGAGACCTACCTCCTTCTCACACCTCAGAGAAAATAAATCTCTCCTATTTAACCCAAAATGGATTTTCTTCTCCCAAGCAACAAGATCCATGAGAATAGGAGGTCTTGGTGAAAACACCTTGTAGCTGACTCAAGCACACAAAGCATCTTTATATGCCACAAAGAGAAGCAACACTATTAACATTCCCAGCCACTGCAGCTGCTCCATCCAGCTTTTCAAAAATCAAGGGAATGGTATTTTACCCATTTTTAACCCCAGCTATAAAAGATTAACAAGTTTTCCCCAAGTCTTTCATTGAAATAAACCCCGAGGTTGCCCTCTAACAGAGCCACCTCCCTGCCTGCAGTCTGGATTGAAGCAGCATCATTCCCTCCCCGGTAATTTCAGCAGTGTGCTTTCCCCCCAAAAGATAAATTCTTACATCTGAAAGTCTCACCTGAACAACTCTTTCTCCATCACTGTGCAAGGACACAGCTGGAATTGATTTGAGAAACAAGCATCCTGTGTTGGTGCTTGGGGCTGGAAACAGCAGGCCAGGTGAGGAAGTGTGTTGCTTTGCTGCCGCAGTTTTGGGTGTAGAAAACATTTGCTGACAATCTGCTTGTGGAGGGCAAGGGGACAAAAAGGCACATGTGCAAACAGGGGACCTCCAGGATACTGGGGCCTCTAAAAGGACCATTTTCATATGTGAACTCTGCTTCAGTGGAGCAGCTCAAATTTTAGTGTTCGTGTCCACCGTGCCAGCATGCAGACACACCTGCAGAAGGTTAAAGATCAAAATTGTTGAGTTCAGGTTAAAGACTGGAATTATTGCAGTTCAGAGGGTCGCTTGCTTCTCTTTTGCTGCCTGCACACCCAGCCCAGTTTCTTAAGGGGCAAAGGCACAGGTAGCACATTCCCACAGTACTGCTGTCAGCTGTTCTCCTCTCTCTATCCCCTTCTAGCAAGCCCAAAATATCCAGCCACCTCCTTCCCATTGCCCAAGGAGGAAGAAGCCGGGATGCTCCGCTGCCTGCTCTCAGGAAAACCTGTCCCGGCCGGGCATGAAGAAAAGGTTCGGCTATTTCCTTTAGGAGGCAAATCCACCAGATCCAACTTTCCCCAAGGAAAACCGAAGCCGTGTCCGGGGAGGGGAGGATGCTCCCTAGGCCGGTTCTCACTAGATGGTGCTGTCGGTCCGGGAACGGAACTCGCTGCTGTAGGGCAGCATCACCCTCCTTGTAACTGCTGATGATAACCAAAACTTTTTCTGGTCGTAGCTCTCCTGAGCGACTTGTTTCTCTACCTGCAATCCCAATGCCATGGAATTATGGAAAAAGTAACCAAGAGCATAAGTCTGCCTCATGCTTCAGAGAACTATATTGAAACGCTCCTTGGTTTAGAAGTTTTACAGTGCTCACCCATGAACACATGGGGGCTGCCTGCCCTCTGCAGAGGTTTAGGTGACACGCCTGGCATTGCTCAGGGATGCAGGGGCAGACAGAGGATATGCAGCCCTCCTTACCTCCGGAGCCAGTCAGGACCTCGAGTCCTCATGTTTATTTAGAAAAGCATATAAGATTTGAAAGTTTGGCTTCTTTCTGAACTAAAACAAGCCCTCTAGACGCCAGGAAAAGAAAATGTCAGTCAAATATTTAGTCTTTTCACATTGTATTAAGTACAAAATACTGTACTTGGAAATGGAAAATTGTTTCCAAATCAAAGTTTGAAATATTTTGATAGCATCAAAATTCCCCGTGTCCAGCTTTTACAGTCTCCCATACTATATTGATCCAAAACAAAGTTCTAGTTAAATAATTCCAGTTTGATGGAATATTTAAGACTGGCATATCTATTACCAGCACGTATTTTTTTTTTATTCAAAGCTCCAAGCAGCACATCTATTCTTCAGTCACCTTTATGAAATATTCTTTTTAACTACTTTAAAGACTCCATACAAAAGGTTTTAAAGAATAAAGAGTATTTCAAAAGAGTGCTACACAAGAGAAAGTTTAAACTCTTAGTCCTTACTCTGCACATACTCAATTTCTAGAGCTCCTGCACCATCTCATTTAAACTGTCCAAAATAAAGTCAGAAGGCTTGCATCTGGTTCCCTCCCCCCCCCCCCCCCAATTTTCTATACTAAGTAGACAACATTGATCATTAGGTTTAGGAGAGATATTAACACTACAGTCAGCATCAGCTCATTTGTTATAGTTCATTAATAAGATTTCAAAGAAGGAAGAGCTGTAGCCATGTCGCTGAAACAGTCACAGGAAGGTGAAACTTCCTCCAACACTGGGAACCGACAGAGCTGAGGAGGCCCAAAGTCTTCTCTGGAAGGTGGTGGTGATGCAGCCCAGCTTCAAAAGGTGCAAACCATCACCACTCCTCCTGCCTCCGGTCAAGATGTGACAGCTCAGCAGCCCTGGAAACCATGTCAACAGTGTAGATATTGACAAAAAAAGCAGAATCTGGCCCCGAGTCCCTCCAATATTTGTTTTTACTATAAAAGGAGAATTGGACTGTAGATGACACATGGGTTAGCTGATTTAGTTTAACAAGTAACTGGGAAAGCAGAGTGTTGTGCTTTCAAATGCCCTTTTCTGCTTTTGACAGTTCAAATTCTTTTTAAACTTCACCTCAGGCTACATGAGTTGTTCTGTCCCCAGACCTGTAGCTATGTTATTTTAAGCACCAATAAGCACAGCCTCACTACTAGGCACTGCTCATCGCAGAGCATCTCCATCCAACAACTGCCTTGAAGAGCCTGTCAGTAAACCCAGCACTCCAGTTTTCTTCATATTCAAAAATATTATTCTTCCTAAAGGAAACAAGCCATACTAGTGGCCACCTAGGTTTGGAAAGGAAGCCTGCTGGGGTCCGACAGAGTTGTAGCTGTTCCATCCCTGGCAGTGTTCAAGGCCAGGTTGTACAGCACTTAGAGCAACCAGGTCTAGTGGAAGGTGTCCCTGCCTGTGGCAGGGGTGTTGGAACTGGATTGTCTTCAAGGTACCTCCCAACCCAAACCACACCATGATTCTTTGTTTTCCATACTCATTTTCATGCTGCAATCACACCACCAACCCCAGTAACCCAGGTTAGCACCTTTCCCCTCTTCCTCTCCTGGATTTCCCAGGGTGGACACTTTGCCATCATAAGTGTCTGCTTCTTAATGACAACCTGAAGGCCAGTAGTGCTGGAGACCAAACCAGAGCCTGTTGCAGCAGATACCAGCTCTGCTTCCAGTGCGAGGCTCAAAGCCTCAGAGGGTTATTATTATTTTCATTTTACAGCCATTTTACAAAGATTACCGAACAATAAAAAAATACAGCCTCAAAAGCAATAGCAGTAAAAGAAGGATGGCTGAGAATTTAATCCAAAGTAGCACAGAGCAATCTGTGAGCTTTCCCTGAGCCCCAGCCACTTTATGAACTTGAAGCCAAACTGCAAGATGTGAGAGGTGGATTCCCAAGCAGAAACCTGAGGCTGCCCAGAGCTGCAGGGGTTGTTTGAGCCCATCTCTAATGGCAGGGGAGTAACACATACTCTTGTTATAATAGAAGATAATTTTTATTTTAACATATATATATATGT